TAGCAAGGAGAGACAAGAAGGCCTTCTTAAATAAACAATGCAAGGAAACAGAGGAAAACAATAGAATGGAAAAAAAAACTAGATATGTCTTCAAGAAAATTGGAGGTATCAAGGGACCATTTCATGCAAGGATGGGCATGATAAATGCCAGAAACTGTAAGGACCTCACAGAAGCAGAAGAGATTAAGAGGAGATGGCAAGAATACACAGAAGAACTGTACAAAAAAGGTCTTGATGACCTAGATAACCACAGTTGTGTGGTCACTCACCTAGAGCCAGACATCATGGAGTGTGAAGTCAAGTGGGCCTCAGGAAGCACTACTTCAAACAAAGCTAGTGGAGGTGATAGAATTCCAGCTGCTATTTCAAATCCTAAAAGACGGTGCTGTTAAAATGCTGCACTCAGTATGTTAGCAAATTTAGAAAACTCAGCAGTGTTCACAGCATGGGAACACGTCAATTTTCTTTTCAGTCCCAAAGAAAGGAAATGCTAACTGCCATACAGTTGTGCTCATTTCACATGCTAGGAAGATAATGTACAAAATTATTCAAGGTAGGCTTCAGTAGTACATTGACAAAGAACTTCAAGGAGTACCAGCTGGGTTTAGAGAAGGCAGGGGAACAGAGATTAAATTGCCAACATCCATTGGATCATAGGGAAAGCAAGAGAATCTCACAGAAAATCATCTAATTTTTCTCCACTGATTATGCTAAAGCCATTGACTTTGTGGATCACAATAAACTGGGAAATTATTAAAGACACAGGAATACTAGACTTTCTTACCTGCCTCCTGATAATCTTGTTTATGGGTCAAGATGCACCACTTAGAACTGGACACAGAAGAACTGACTGGCTCAAAATTGGGAAAGGAGTACATCAAGGCTATATGTTGTCACCCTGATTATTTAACTTATATGCAGAGTACATCATGCAACATGCCAGGCTGGATGAAGCACAAGTTGGAATCAAGATTTCCAGGAGAAATATAATCTCAGTTATGCAGATGACACCACCTTAATGGCAGAAAGTGAAAAAGAACTAAAGAGCCTCTTGAGGTAGGTGAAAGAGAGTGAAAAACCTGGCTTAAAACTCAGCATTCAAAAAATAAAGATCATGTCATCTTGTTCCATCACTTCATGACAAATAGAAGGGGAGGATTAGAAACATTAAGAGATTTTCTTTTATTGGGCTTCAAAATCACTGTGGACAGTGACTGCAGTCATGAAATTACAAGACACTTGCTCCTTGGAAGTAAAGCTATGACAAACCTAGACAGCAAATTAAAAAGCAGAGACCACTTTGCCAACAAAGTCCCATATAGTCAAAGCTGTGATGTTTCTAATAGTCATGTAGAGATTGAGAGTTGGGACATGAAGAAGGCTGAGTGAAGAAGAATTGATGTTTTCAAACTGTGGTGCTGGAGAAGACTCTTGAGAGTCCCATGGACTGCAATGAGATCAAGCCATCCAATGATTTTTTACAAGGAGTGTTACAGTATGTAATAATGATGATACTTGTTTCCTTTTATATTGTATAAAGTGAGGAGAAGGGCATTCACACAGGGCATCCACATATTGAAATATATATTAGTTTAGGGTTTTATATCCCTTTTGTCATAATTCATCAAATAATTTATTTGATACTTGTAACCTTGTTTGCAAGACAAATTAGCTAACATATGGAAGTCTTTAACATAGTACCGTCTCAAAGCATTAGAGATTTAAAATCAGCAGAATTCAATTTATTGATGCTTTATTGACTGTCACTCTACTTGTTTTGATAAGACTGAATGGAAACCATCCAGCTGGAAATTTTCCCCACAGCAATAATATTGAATTATATGTTCTACAGTTGGCAGTCTTAGATGATTATAGCCCATTGTAGGACAAGTTGTATAGATGTTGAGTGACACAGATAGAGGTGAAGGTTTTAACCATGGTAAGATGCTGCATGTAGTGTGATGTAACATGTACAGAGGAATCTGACGTCAGTGGACATCATCTGACAGTAGCCTTCTGTGTTGTTTCAGCTTACCTCTTCCTGGGTATAATTCTTCACTGCAATGTTTATAAATATTAGTATCTTGATATGTTAGCATTTCTAGGGACCTTCATATAAATGGCAAAAGAAACCTGAATCACTAAGTGATTCCAGATAAATGAAAAAGAACTGGCAGTTAATTTTTACCCCTTGCAGTTCTGATGATGAGTGAAGCAGACAGCTGCTATCCTCTGCCTGGTGCTGAGACCAGAAAAGCAAAATGGGCAACATTTACCAAATAGAATTGCTTCATTGACTGTAAAATTTGCTAATTCAACATTGAGAGATATCTGAATATTTTTAAAGCTTATTCATTCATAAAACATATTTATTAAGTGCTTCCTATGTACCTGACACCAAGTGATGAGGAAAATAGATAAGTGAAGAGGGCCAGGGAGTGACAGGACAGTGAACTGCAGAAATTGAGTGTCAGACGGTGTTGCGGACACAATATAGCAGGCTGTACAAGTACAGGGAAGCTGCTTAGACTGTATGGTGAGGGAAGGATTTCCTGCAGTGCTACCCTGCAAGCTGGGACCTGTTGTCAATAACTTGGAGAAGAATCGTCAAAAGCCCTTAGTAAAGAGGAAGCCTGGAATGTTGGATGCACAGTGAGGAACAACTGGATGGGCAGAGATAAAACTGAGAGGAAGCAGGAGCAGAACACGCTGACCAAAGGGAGGTTTTCAGCCTACACGTAGATCTGTTTAGGGAGAGAATGTTGACCATTCCCCAGATCTCACCCAGATAGCTGTTTAACCCCCTGCGTCATCCCCACTGACTCCCTCGGTCAGACTATCAAACAGTTACTGTGCCAGGTATGACTCTAAATGTGGGGAGTATGAAAGGCTTGGCCAGCCCTGCCCTCACAGAGTATAATTCAGTGGAGAAGAAATAAATGAAATGATTACAAGAATCAAGAAGTCCAAGAAGTAAGTGAAGTGTATCACTGGTATTTATAATAAAATGGGGTCAACCTAGCCTACAGCCTAGGTCTAAAATCTTGTAGTAATGAAATAGTATTTCATCTTACATATTTTACTTCAAAACATCATTCCAAGATTCTACTAAAATAATAGATTGAAAATGCCAATTTACTTAGATATAATATATAATAAAACATATATCATCCTTTATAATTTTCTGTCCTTTCATAGGCACTATCCCATTTAATATTCACAGTGCCTGTTATTATTATTATTCACAATAACAATATCTGCTATTTTTAGTATTCACAATACCTATTATTACTACCTTCTTTTTAAAGATGAATAAGCTAAAGTCAATCCTAAAGGAAATCAGTCCTGAATATTTATGGGAAGGATTGATGCCAAAGCTGAAACTCCAATACTTTGGTCACCTGATGAGAATAACTGACTCTTTGGAAAAGACCCTGATACTTGATAAGATTGAAGGCATGAGGAGAAGGGGGCAACAGAAGATGAGATGGCTGGATGGCATCACTGACTCAATGGACATGATTTTGAGCAAGCTCCAGGAGTTGGTGAAGGACAGGGAAGTCTGGCGTGCTGCAGTCCATGGGGTCACAAAGAATCAGACACAACTGAGCACCTGAACAGAACTGAAGCTAAAGCTGTGGAAATTTAACTGACTTGTCTACAGTCCCAAAAGGAATTAGTAATGTAGGCAGTTCTAGCCTTTTTTGATAACACTTAGATCACCAGAAGTCGGGCTGGTCTGAGCTAAATATAGTAAAACCATTTACCCAACAGCACCAGGCATTTAGTTCAAAAACAAAAGGAAGAGAGGACATAGCATCCTCATTCTTAAGAAATACAGGATCTATTTAGGAAGGTGTTCAGATAAGTACCAGATAGTAAATTGGGCAGAAATTCTGGGTGCATATAAAGTTATGGAATAATCAAAGTGGCATGGGATTATTCTATAACCTTGTCTTGACAGAAATTTTACAACTGGACATATAAATAGGTTGTGTGGTTATATTTTTATATATAAAATGAAATTCTGGTTTTTTTTCCCCTATGTTCAAAATTACTGCCAGTCAATGAATCTTACCCACATTTCCTCTGAGTTTATTACTTAGTTTAGAAATCTATACTGTTTCTTCATTGCACAGATTAATCTCAGCTACTCTTTTTCTCTCTCTGCTGAAGACATCTGCCAGGACAATCCAGAAAACTTTACTCAGCATTCTCTATTTTATTTCCACGTCCAAGCCTGATGCCAAGCTTTCTGTTCAAACTACCTCTTCCTGGAATGCTAAATTGTTGACCTTTAGGGAAGCTTCATTATTTAACCTTCTTCTATTTCTTAGAAAATCAGTAGAGAATTCTATTCAATATGCAACCCTGAATATGCTGGCTTACATTTTCTGAACACTGAATGTTCCGTTTTTCTCATACAATGCAATGATTTTATTTTTCTGACTTTTGCATGATGTCAATAAATGTTTAGTTTTATTAATATTGATTATTTTACATTATGTTTTATAATGAGTCAGCACCTGGCATACTATTGCATAAAAGTACACGATCATTTCAAATACTATCATTGTCATTACACATATTGCATAGTCTCTTTCCCCTTCCACTATACCTGGAAATATTTTCTCTGTTAATTAAAAATTATGCATAATACATGTCAACTAACAAGCAATTAAGAAACAAAAGAAAAGTATACAACTTCAGTTATGTATTTAAGCTTTAGTGTTAACTGTCTTACTCTTCATGGCTGTGAAGGATCGCACAGGATGTAACATGCGGAAGAAAAACTACTGCCAAATCACCACTTGGTAGCAACATGCCAGAGCCTGTGCTAAGTGCTTTTTTTATTCCTTTTTATTTTCACTTTCACATTAACTCTACAAATAAATAATCTGCAACATAAATTTCTTTTCTAGAAAGTGAATGAAGATCAAAGGCACATTTTTAATAGGAACTGATGAGTAACTTCTTTGTAAAAAATGAAAAATACTTACTGGAACCAGAAATTTTTTAATCTCTTCCAATGCGTGACTCATACGTGAATAAGCCTCCCCCGGTGGAGCAAACACTTCAATTAATACATGAAGTTCGTCACTCAAGTGGGCATACTTGGCTTCCCCACTTTTTCTTAATTCTTCTTCCTGTGAAAAAAGTTATTTTTATAAATACAAATCCACTTATTTTACATCAATTTAACAGTTACTGAGGAGATGACAAAAGGACATAATATAAGCAAATTTTCCCCAAGTGGAAAGTAAAAATCTGGCATAAGTCATTTAACTATTTCAAAATAATTTTTAAGAGTTTGATTTTTTAAAAAACATCTGGCATAATAATTAACTGCACATTTTAATCAGCTAAATGAAAATGCTAAATCCCCCCCAAAAAGCAACAGAAATGCCATTAACTCCACTGGAAGGAAAATATTGATTTTGTGTCTGACAAGAAATCATTTGCAGGCAATGAACCTATGATGCCACTGTTCTTTAAGAAAACCAGGATTTTATAGATATTTTTTGAGAGGTGGTGAAATGGTTACTTGCTCTCCATTTAAGTGAGCAAAACAGAGGCTTCTCTCACAGGCTCATTCCCATGGGAATAGGTCCTACCCATCACTCTGCTATCATTTGCCGCCTCATACAGGAGTAAGTTAAAGCAATGGCTGTTAGGCATTATGTTGGCCTTGATTCTGAGTGAGCTGCATACCCTCAGATTTTTGTGAGCACTGCACCTGAGTTATTACAGATGACTGATCAGTTCAGTTCAGATGCTTCTGACTTTACTCCCTTGTGCAAAGTTTTTTACTCATGTCATCTCTAATCTTTCAATAACCTTGCATAACATTCACATAATTCAAATTAGGATATTGAGTTTAAAAGACTTAAGTAACCTCAGCAAAGTTGGGACTCAAGTCCAGCTCATTTTGCAAAGATTTCAGGGAAGTAAAATTCAGTGAAAAATTAACACATGCTTGCTCAGTCATGTCTGACTCTTTGCAACCTATAGGTTGTATCCTACATGGCTCCTCTGTTCATGAGACTCTCCAGGAAATGATACTAGAGTGGTTGCCATGCTCTGCTCCAAGGAATCTTCCCGACCCAGGGGTCGAACCTGAGTCTCCTGCATTATAGATGGATTGTTAATCTGCCGAGCCACCTGAGAAGCTCAAAAGTTACCATAAATAATATTAATTTTATTTTACTTTTCTTGCTTCTTCTCTCCCAAACTAGCAATTGATTCACTAAATTTCAAAGGATAAAAATAATAATAATAATGGTAATAAAGTAGGATTGCTGCTGATCCCTGCCTCTTGGATGCACATACAATGAGAGCATCACTTCAGGACCTTTTCTGTCAGACAAGATTCTGAGAAATCAGAAATAATTCTCATTTGGAACTTACAAAGAGAACAAGGCCTGAGCCTTTCGAGAGCAAGAACTGACTTCAAGACTCCAGACTACCAGAGAACTAACCCTGTGGAGTATCAGATAGTGAGAACTCACATAAAGGAAATCACTCGAATACAATATGTGGTATCACACAACCACCTCATCTAAACAACAAGCAAAACAAAAATACAAACCCAATCATCAGCAGACAGGATCATCACCTCACCCAGCCTTGCCCATCAGAGGAAAAATAAACACACACACACACAAAAAAAAACTCAGCACAAAGCTCACCCTATACAAAGCTTACACAGACAACTGGGCCAACCTTAGGAAAGCAGAAACAAAGAGGAAGGAAGAATTCAAACTTGAAGCCTGAGAAAAGGAGACCTCAAACACAATAAGTTAAAAAAAAAATGATGAAAAGGCAGAGAAATAATACACAAATGAAGGAACAAACTAGAAACACAGAAGTCCAAACAAATGAAGAGGAAATAGGCAAACTATCTGAAAATGAATTCAGAATAATGACAGTAAAGATGATCAAAAAGCTTAAAAACAGAATGGAGGAAATGTAAGAATCAATTAACATAGACCTAGAATAATTAAAGAATAAACATAAAGAGACAAACAACACAATTACAGAAATTAAAAATACTCTAAAAGGAATCAATAACAGAATATCTGAAGCAGAAGAATGAATCAGTGGGCTGGAAGATATAATGGTGGAAATAACTCCTGGAGAGCAGAATAAAGTAAAAAGAATGAAAAGAACTGAGGATAGTCTCAGAGACCTCTGGAACAAAATCAAACACAAAAACATTGAAATTATAGGGGTCCCAGAAGAATAAGAGAAAAAGAAAGTGTATGAGAAAATTCTTGAAGAGATTATAGTTGAAAATTTCCCCAGCATGGAATAGGAAATAGTCAATCAAGTTCAAGAGGTAGAGAGTCCCATACAGGGTAAACCCAAGCAGAAATATGCCAAGACCCATACTAATCAAACTAACAAAGACTAAACACAAAGAAAGAATATTAAAGACATTAAGGGAAAAGCAACAAGTAAAATGCAAGGGAAACCCCATATGTTTAACAGCTGATCTTTCAGCAGGAACTCTGCAGGCCAGAAGGGAATGGCAGGATACATTTAAAGTATGGGGGAGATGTACAACAAAGATTACTATACCGAACAAGTATCTCATTCAAAATTGATGGAGAAACAGAAAGCTTTCAGACAAGCAAAAGTTAAGAGAATTCAGCACCACCAAACCAGCTTTATAACAAATGTTAAAGGGACTTATAAACTCAAGAAACACAAGAGTTGAAAACGAACTGCAAAATCAACCACAAACAATTAAGAAAATGGCAATAGGAACATACATATCAATAATTACTTTAAATGTAAATGGATTAAATGTTCCAACCAAAAGACACGGACTGGCTTAATGAATACAAAAACAAGACCCATAATATGCTGTCTGCAAGAGACCCACTTCAGACCTAAAGACACATATAGACTGAAAGAGACAGGATGAAAAAATATATTCCATGCAAATGGGAAGCAAAAGAAAGCTGGAGTAGCAATCCTCATATCAGACAAAATAGACCTTAAAATAAAGATTACAACAGATAAAGAAGGACACCACATAATGATCAAGGGATCAATCCAAGAGGAAGACATAGCAATTGTAAATATCTAAGCCCCCAACATAGGAGCACCTCAATATATGAGACAAACACTAACAGACATAAAAGGAGGAATTAATAGTAACACAATAATAATCAGTTCAGTTCAGTTCAGTCACTTAGTCGTGTCCAACTCTTTGCATGAAACCCATGCAAAGACCCCATGAACTGCAGCATGCCAGGCCTCCCTATCCATCACCAACTGCTGAAGTCTTGCCAAACCCATGTCCATTGAGTCAGTGATGCCATCCAACCATTTCATCCTCTGTCATCCCCTTCTCCTCCCGCCCTCAATCTTTCCCAGCATCAGGGTCTTTTCCAAGTCAGCTCTTCACATCAGGTGGCCAAAGTATTGGAGCTTCAGCTTCAACATCAGTCCTTCCAATAAACACCCAGGACTGATCTCCTTTAGGATGGACTGACTGGATTCCTTGCAGTCCAAGCGACTCTCAAGAGTCATCTCAACACCACAGTTCAAAAGCCTCAATTCTTCTGTGCTCAGTTTTCTTTATAGTGCAACTCTCACATCCATACATGACTACTGGAAAAACCATAGCCTTGACTAGATGGACCTTTGTTGACAAAGTAATGTCTCTGCTTTTTAATATACTGTCTAGGTTGGTCATAACTTTTCTTCCAAGGAGTAAGTGTCTTTTAATTTCATGGCTGCAATCACCATCTGCAGTGATTTTGAAGCCCCCCAAAAATAAATCAGCCACTGTTTCCACTGTTTCCCCATCTATTTGCCATGAAGCAATAGGAACAGATGCCATGATCTTAGTTTTCTGAATGTTCAGCTTTAAGCCAACTTTTTCACTCTCCTCTTTCACTTTCATCAAGAGGCTTTTTAGTTCTTCTTCACTTTCTGCCATAAGGGTGGTGTCATCTGCATATCTGAGGTTATTGATATTTCTCCCAATAATAATAATAATAATAATAATAATAATAATAAGAGACTTTAAAACCACACTCACACCAATGGACAGATCATCAAAACAGATAATTAATTAAGGAAACACAAGTCTTAAATGATACACTATATGAGATGGATCTCATTGATATCTTTAGGACATTCCATTCAAATGCAGAAGAATACATCTTCTCAAGTGCACATGGAACATTCTCCAGGATAGATCACATCTAGGGTCACAAATCAAACCTCAGTAAATTTCAGAAAATTGGAATTGTGTCAAACATCTTCTCTGAAGACAATGCTATAAAAGTAGACATCAATTACAAGAGAAAACCTGTATAAAATACAAACACATGGAGATTATATAGTACATTTCTAAATAACCAATACTTTACTGAAGAAATCAAAAGGGAAATTTAAAGAAAAATGTCTATAAACAAATGACAAGGAAAAGACAACAACTCAAAACCTATGCAGCAAAAGGAGTTCTAAGAGGGAAGTTTATAGCAATGCAAACCTACCTCAAGAAACAAGAAAAACATTGAACAGACAACCTAACTATATACCTGAAACAACTGTAGAATAAAGAATAATAAGTCTCAAAATTAGTAGAAGGACAGAAATCATAAAAACTGAGCATAAATAAATGAAAATTAAATGAAAGCAACAATAGTAAAGACTAATAAAACTAAAAGCTGGTTCTTTGAGAAGATAAACAATAGTGACAAACCTTTAGCCAGACTCATCAAGAAAAAAAGAGAGAAGAATCAAGTCAACAAAATTAGAAATGAAAAAGGAGAGGTTAAAACAGACAACACAGAAACACAAAGGATTGCAAAAGACTATTATGAACAACTATATGGCAATAAAATTGATAACCTGGAAGAAATGGGCAGACTCTTAGAAAAGTTCGATCTTCCAAGACTGAACCAGGAAGAAATAGGAATTATGAACAACCCAATTACAAGCACTGAAATTGAAGTTGTTATCAAAAATCTCCCCAAAAACAAAAGCCCAGGACCAGATGGCTTCACAGAAATATATCACATTTAGATAAGAGCTAATGCCTATCCTAAAACTCTCTCAAAAAACTGCAGAAAACACTTCCAAACTCATCCTATGAGGCCACCATCAGACTGATACCAAAACCAGA